AAATCCATTCAGAAGTCGTTGAAGGGTAAAACAGCGGCAGCAAACAAAGTCATTTCTGCGGTGAAGGAGTCTATGAGCATTGCAAAGGAGTACATGCTGGACATTCCTCCTAATGTGCAGGATATCGCAACAAAGCTGTTGGCTGCGAAGTGATACTTTCAACATCTGGCGAGTGTGATCTTGGATGAGGAATTCAACAACATACAGTTGAATTTGTTTAGTGCTTTGAATCACGACATCGGTACACAGATGTCAATTCGCCCTTTTGTATTGTGAATCCAAACTGGCTACAGTCATAGGCCATAGGGTCGTTTTTGCGCAGCTTGGCTGAGCATTTGGGGTGGACTGGAGCTGCTGTGGACTGTGGCTTCCATGTCCATGTAGCTTGTTTGCGCAATTCCAAAGTGGCGGTATGCATAGTACAGACTCCCAATGGGAAAAGACCACTCCGAACTCTAGACTAGACTTAAGCAGCGTGGAAAGGAGGTGACATGCGACTCGACTGTTTGAGTATGGCACCGAAAAAAGGGGCAGTCAAGACAATAGCAAAACCAAAGCCTAAGAGATGCCCCAAGGCCAAAGCCATTTTTCCGCCGACACCAAAGGCAAAAGCTCGTGTCGCGGACGCGGATGAAGTTTCTGAGGATTCCAGTAGTGTCACTCCTGTCCCAGTCCCAACCCGAGGGCGTGGTCGTGGTGTTGGCCGCAGCCGCGGCCGTGGAGCAAAGGATGCTGACTCACCCTTGCCAAAGGAAGTCAATCCTTCTGGCGTCCAGTTCTGGGCAAAATTTACCCAAAAGGTGAAGACAGAGAGTATGGAAGGCTGGGAGTTGCATTGTTTGGGTGGGGGTGGGGGTGGTTCTGGACATACATCGCAACTTGTAGATGATAAGGTATTATGGTCTGATATGTTTCAGACTGCAATATTAGTTTCATCATTACATTTAGTCTAATTTATAGGATTTAGATTGAGACTGGTATTATTCCATTTGGCAGGCTGTGGGCAAACCACGACACTTCCAGAACAATGTGAAGAAAGCTCGAGTGCTTTGGCCTCTTCAAGTACCACATTAGTCCCTACAAATCTCCTTCCAGTGGATGAGGCAGGAGCCATGACACCAATGCCAACACCGGATGTTTCAGCGCAAGATCAAGTACATCCTGAGGCTGACATGGTGCAACCAGCTCCCACTGAAGAACTACCAGCAGATGCTGCAGCGCCGCCAGATTGTCCATGCGACGCCCCATCCAATGTAGAAGTCGAAGCACAGGTTGAGGCAAATGCTGATGGTCAGGGTTCAGATGCTCACGCTCAAGCCAAATCAATTCCTGTGACCCCACCTTTTGGAGGACAAGTGGAACCGGAACCTGAGGCTGCTGGGAGTGCCACTATTCCTGGGGCAAGGGGAGTGGAAGATTCAACCGAATCTTTCGAGGATTCACAGGAACAAAGAGTCTATTCCGCTCTGGTTGCAATAGTGGATGGCAAAGTCAAGGAGGAGACTCCCAACGCAGAGCCAACTCAGAGCAAGGACATGGATGTCAAGACCAGCAACAAGGACGCTCCTGCGCAAGAGGACAACGCTGACGCTCCTGACATGGATCCTCAGATGGATGTCAAGGACGAGGCTGAGACAAACAGCGACAAGGACGCTCCTGCGCAAGAGGACAACGCTGACATGGATGTGGAGGCTGACATGGATGGCATTGAACCTCCTGCAAAGCATTCATCCTTCCTCCACTCCCATGCGAAGGCTCAGTTTGTGTCTGCTGTTCTTGAGTAGTACTAAGTACTGAGACTTGACTGGACTAAGACTGAGACTCAGACTCAAGACTATGGACATGACAAGGCTACAGTCTGTAGAAAAAAGAACTGTACTGTATACCGTACAACCGTTAAGTTATACTGTATACTGTATACCATATACTGTATACCATTATAGCGTACTCACCAACAATGGACTGTGAGACGCAGCTGGGCAAGCTTATTGCTGCGATTGGAAAGGACTCCGTGTCAATGGTGGTGGAAGCTCTACCCAAAACGATCTTGGCCATGACAGCCTGCACTGGGAGTGGTATGCTGGAAATTGTACTTGAGGTAGTAGTCAAAGAATTGAACCAACAGTTCGGCTGCGAGCTTGAGGTCAGGGTCGGGAACACATTTAGGGTCTTTTGAATTGTGTTGAGTTGAGTCAAGTTTCTCTGTTTGTTTTGTCTCGCTGTCTTCTCAGTCGTCTACTTCTCTTGTGATGAAAGGTGGAACGATCTTTCATGTGCGAGATTGTTCAGAACAAGCAGAAGTTTGTCATGAAGCACGTGATCCCTCCAGAGGAGAAAACCAAACCAATTGGCAATTGGGGTAGCACAGTCCTGCTGTTGGCAGGAACGAGATGTTGCTTGCTTTTTCGACGACATCACCAAGATTGATGACCCTAAAAATCGTTCCTGCCTCACTCATCGAACCAGTTGTGTGGCCCTCTTAGTCGGCTGTGGAGCTTAGAGCACAAGTGGAAACCGGAGCTTCCAGATTGCACAGCCAACAACACCGTGTTTGGCTTGTTTGTCGCAGGTTTTTCCTGTAAGTTCGGCCCTGAGACTGAGTTTGCATTGTCAGTACTCAGTGACTCAGCAAGTAAGCCAAAAGGAAACAATCAGTCATTTTGTTCCAAGGTCATTTTCCAAAATGAATTGTGACTTTTCGATGCTCAAAACTGCTATGGAGGATGATACTGATACTTCTTTGGGCTATGAGCAGTGGAATCGGAACAATTGTGAAATATTGATAAATATTGTGAACCATGATTCCATGATCACAAAACTGCAAACGCGAACAAAAACTGTGGACACTGAGGAATGTAGCTCCACTGCCACATTCAAAGGAGTTATTTCCATATTGCGGACAGCACAGCCTCATGCACTGATTCTTGAGAATGTGGACAGCATTGATGCAGCCACATCGCGGGGAGATGACCAAGATTCCGTGTAACTTAACTTAACTAGGTGTTTGCGCCTACGCAGTTCAGGTGATTGTGAATGTCTGAATTATCAGTGCAAGGTGAATCATATAGTTCCCGCACTTCAATTTCAACTTAGGCAGCACAAATCGAATCTGACCATGGTGTTGGAGTATTTGAAAGAGCTGGGCTACAGTTGCTGTGCCAGGAAGCTTAAGTCGTCAGACTATGGGCTTCCACAGCGGCGTAGCAGATACTATATCTTTGGTTTCCGGAGTTCTGTGGATTTTGCTCAAAGTGCATCGGCTCTAGCAGAGCTGATTCCATCTCGTTTGCAGACTATGGCAAGCTCAGAATGCAGTCCAGTTGCCGAAGTCCCAGATTTTTTTTTTTTTTTAAACCAAGTCCATCTAATTCCGTCTACAAATTGGTTTCGTTTGCAATGTTTGCAACGTGCAAGTGCGGGGGAAGCTTTTGTTGCTTTGTTGATGTTCTTTCCACGTCAAGCTTCATTCATGAGTCAAGGCCGACTTCCTCCTGCCTGACACGCACCCAGCTTTGATCAAAGAACTTCAGAGACGTGCTGCTGTAGCTGAGAAACGTGATACCAAAAACTCCGAGACCATTGCAGGAAGTTCAGCTGCAACAGCTAAATGGGTTGAACAGCATACTCACTTAGCAGAGACGTTGTCAGTGAAGTGGCCCTTGGCTCACCCGCCAGAGTTTGGAACATCCCAGTTCTTTGCCACCTTGACGGAGCGGGAACAGGAGGCGTGGTTTTACATGCTCTGCGACTAAAACTGGACTGACTGTACAGACTGTACTACTAGTATCTATCTATCTATCTATCTATCTACGGTTGACTCTGGCCATGTCGAGGTTTCATGCTTCGTCAAGCTATGGAACGATCGTTACAAGTCTGAGGGTAAGCCGACAATAGCCTTTGCGGATCTTTCCCAGTCAGTGAGTCGAGTCTCAACAAGCACGCACCAGTCTGCTGTACACCAATCCATGATTTGAGCTGTTTTGAGGTCTTTGATTTTGGTTTTGCAATTTGTTGTCCGAAAACAGTTCCCGAGCTTCCTGAGCTGCCTGCTCGAATGCCAAGGTAGTTCCGACCATCTTACCACACGCTAAGCTCTGGAGTACGGAACTATTGCGCCCCCTATTGGGTTGGTGACTCAATTGATTCTGAATCGTGAATTCAATCCGCACAATCAATCATTCAACCAATCAAGTGTCTATCAATCAAGTGTTGGTAGAAGCTTAGGTGTGGAGATGCTTGGGCTGCAGGGCCTTTTCTTGTCAGATTTGCCATATTTTGGTGATTCAGTAGAGCATACAGATGCTCAAGTGGCAGACCTTGCCGGAAACTCGTCGGGTTCTCAGTGTACAGTGTACAGAGTGTTAATAGATATACCTAGCCTAGCCGCTAGCCTATCCCGTATACCGTTATATATTGTTGCGGTCGCGTTTTCGCTGTGTGATGCCGGCTGTATTATCCGGGCTGAGTTGTTTTTGCTCAAGGTTTTCTGCGCCGTGCATCATGGCTGCAGTCTATGCGGTTTTGACTGTGGCCCGGTTTGATACGACAAGTGATGTGGACGAGCTTGCAGCAATTCCAGTCTCAGAATGGCTGCGGCTTACAAAGCGCAGAGTTTGACTCTCACCGCCAAAGCTGCTGGTTGAATCAGGCCTTTGTACAGCAGTCGATAGGCCTCGACCCCGAGATGAAACACTGTTGGCGTGAAAGAATTACTCAGCAGTTGCAGTTGGAACGGTTGGTGCAGCAACGGTTGGTACCCATCGCACGTACCTACGTACCTGTTGACCGTGCCCATCGCACGTACCTACGTACCTGTTGACCGCGCCCCTCGCGCGTACCTATGTACCAAATGTCCGTTCCTTGTACCCGTACCCCCTGGAGCATACTTTCAAGGACCACATTGAGCATTACTCTTGAAAACGCATAACTTTTAGCATTCATTTTGACTACATTCCTGTCTACGGATGAGCCAATGCCACCAGCAAACGCTCTACTCTGGCCTTGGCCTGGAAGGTTTTGAAGATCTTGAAGCCTCTTTCTGCTCTAGCCGCCACATTCCTCTGGCCTGGGCGCAGAACACCTTCAAACCTTCTGACTTAGTTGTAGCAGTGACCGTCTTCGGATCCTATGTCAAGGATTTCGACAGTCCTGTTTCTCAATCCTTTTTGAGAATGACCCACGACATCTCCAATCATCTCCAGCTCAGCCATTCCCTGCTTCTGAGCCACTGCTGCTGCCTCTGCACGCTGCAAAGATGTGGGCTCCGGAGGTGCCGGTGGCCTCGTGGGCATTGGTGCGCCGAATGGTTTCGCCCTCTGGCATAAGTTTCGCTGTTCAAACCATTTCGGAGATTGACCCTCTCTTTGGTCACGACAAAGCTTAGTAACTTAGCTTAGCACATGTTCCCGCCAACCTATGTTTCCTTCCTCTTCTCTTTGGCAAGCATGCTCCGAAGTCGCTCAATGGAAACAAATCGAGTTTGCTGATCAAACACTTGTGTCAAAGGCGAAATGGCAACAACTCGCACAAATCGCGCATCCGAACAAAACACTGCAAACAATAGGGCCTTGAGGAGAATATGCAGGCAACCCGAGCAAGTCCCTTTAAAACCCAAATGACAAATTACCATCAAAGTGAACACAAACGACATAAGAACCCCGGCTGTCTAGAAGCTGCGCGGTATCGCTTTGCTGCAGCTATTTCAGCCTCCACTCCACTAACACGTCAAATCCCTACCAGAAATCCCCACCAGATTGAAATCAACTAGACGTCAGTATCACTCAAGAACTTGCATGAACCGCGCTTGATGCAAAGCAGCACATTCTCTGGTACGCAGGTAAACCAAGGTAAGTTTGTCGCAAAGAGACACCACAAACGGTGAATGAAAAAACACAACAAAAACATAATTCGGTTCTTCAAGATGTAATCTGCACCTTGTACTCTGTGCGAAGCAGCTGCGATTCAGCTGGAGGCGCTGCGAGAATACGGCGTTCCTTGAGACATGAACACATTGGCAAAATGACCATTCGCGTCGTGCATGATTGCATTTCCTTTCCATGATCCTTCATACCTGTTTGTTGCAAGCCATTATGGTAATGTACATGATGTTGAAGCAATCATGGTGATAGAAATTGATAGAGCCTTTCCCAGAAGATTGCAGTGTTGTTTGATGAATGCTGAGGTGTGCGCCTTCTCTGCCTTTCGCTGCAGGCCACGGAGAGCAAGTTCCGATGCTTGCAGGTCTCTTTCCAGTTGCTGCGCCTGTGCCCAACAAAGCCACGTTGGCACCAGGCCGAGAAGCCCAATGGTATGCGTCTACTCAAAACACGATATCGACGCTACGGAGCGCCCTTCTCTCCTTGAGCCAAAACATACATGAAGTCCTTATAGTAAGAACTGTAATGAACTGTACAAGCAGAGTGTATATGGGCTATACATTTCGACACTCCTCCTCTTGCACGGAGTCATTCAGCTCTGCGCAAGCTATACAAACAAGTGAAACTTCTCCTCTCCCACTGCGCCCAGTGCCGCTTGTCCTGAACATGGTAGTGGAGTCTGGCCAGGGCCTCGCTCGAGGATGTCTAGTTGGCCTTTGCCACTTTTGCCGAGGAAGATGTACTGGAGATCTTCCACCGTCTTTCGGAGCTGGACTCCCGGGACTGACTTGATGAGAACGTCAGCCTTGTTCTTCTTTCCAGGAACATGGCAACTTTGAGGTGCCTTTCGGCTACTCTTTCTTGTAGCCACAAGAGTCTCCTTCCACAGCGAAGTCCAGTTCCACTCCAAGATCCTTGCAGAGGCTCACACCTGTTGAGCCGCCTTTCGCAAGAGTATAGCATTCGCTCTCTCTCCAGCCTGGATGTTCTGTGGCACTGCTGTGTTTGAGCACATGGGCGCCACAGATGGCCACCATTCCCGTGGTTCTCTTTCTTGTGGCAGCATCACTGCCATGGTCTGCATCCACTTGTATCCGCAGTTTCGTTGAGCGATTGGTGAGAACTGAAGGCTTGCGCCATGTCCGGATACCGCTTGAGGTAGCGGATTAGCCTCTTCAGATCTGCCAACTTGGCCTCCGTGCGCGTCACCGTCGCACGGGCGAGATTTTTCATATCCAGGCGATCTTGCGCCAGGTATGCCAACCATGCGATTGATGCGTCACTTCATCACTCTTATCCAACAGTGGGCTTCGGGCCTGCAGCATCTGCTGGTCCGAACGAAGATTTCTGGATGTCAGGCGGCTCGGCGCCATGGTATTCGCTTTTTCCAAGCCGAACGTTTGGATGAGGAGGTCCACACGCGATCGGCCTCGATCGCAACTGAGCTTCTGCCGCTCTTCTCGTCGACGCGGATTAACCGGTTCAGGAAATGGGCTTCCCTTCGGTCTCCATCATCATCTCGAAGAATACCGAAACATTTCAGCTCATAGGCCTCACTGACAACCTTTCAGGTGAGTTGCATCTCCCAAGGCCAGGAAATTTACTCGGACGTCCCAGTCCTCCTAGAAGAACAGTGACGCGTTTGAGGCTCCTCTACGGAACCCGGCCTTTTGCAAGGTATTCGCGTAATGCGTCTGCCAGATGTTCGGGGCGTCTTGCATAGACTTCACAAGAAGTCCACAGCCCTGCCCGTCTTTGCTGGCTGTCTTCTTTAGGCAACTCTATGTAGATCTTCCCCTTTGGTGTTCCAAAGAAGTGGGCTCGTGAGGTGTCCTGCAATCCGTGCTTTAGCTTCTGGTTGTGGTGAGACTTTCTCTTTGTTTGCCCACAACTAGCATAGCAGTCTCATCCCGTCTACGGGCGGCGTGCCGCTGAAAAGCAAGTTTGCTGGCAACTGCTCTTCTTTGGTCTTCCGAGCTTTGATCTCACGCGCTACCAGTCTGCTCCTGAAGTTTGGGTTTGTTGGGCCACCTTTATTGGCGTCCAACCGCTTCACCGGTATTGGGGGCTTCCCCGTCTCTTCAAAGCACTCTGTTCTTGGCCTTGTGGCCTCATGAAGGAACTTGCGTCCAGCGCGTTGCTGCTTGGTGTACGCTCATGAAGGAACTTGCTTCATGAAGGAGCTTCTGCCCTCCTTCTTCTCAGATCCGGTGCCATGGTCTTCCAGTTCAAGTTGTGGAATTTAGAGAACATGTGACACGAGGGTGAACCCGTCAAAAGCGCTGGTTCATCCGTCCTGGTCCCAGTGTGTGCCGTCAGCCTTCCCCTCACATAGGTCGAAGGCGAATCCTGGCCTTAGCTTGTATCTCTTGCCCAATGCTGTAAATCGCTTCGGCGAACGCAGCTCCATCACGTCGACCGGCACCGTCAGGTGTGCTATGTCAGCCACCTCGGCGCTGGTGATGTCCAGGTTGCTTGCGGAGTACGTCTCCTGGATTCCTGGATGATCTCTTCCAGATGTCTTCTGGCAATTTCCTTTTCCTTTGTTAGGCTTGACGAAACGTTCTTGCACTTGTCTGCGCTCTCTTCCTTCTCTACATCTACTTCTGCCGCTCGCTTTGCTCCTTGCGCTGGGTTTGGCTTAACCTTCGCAACCCGGCGGGTCTATTCGAAGTTCCCTGGCGTGCTTCTTTGGTTCTGCTATCACTTTGGCCTTAGCCACTGGCTTCTTCTCTTCTTCTGCCGCTTGTCGCTTCATCTCGATTCTCTTCCCTGGACCCTCTGGAGAGGCGCTCTCACCTTCCGCCGCTGCCGGCGGTGCGCTTCCAATCCTGAGCCTTTGGCTTCTTCATCTTTACTCTCTGGCTCTCCAGTTGCTTCTTCTGCTGTGATGTCTTTGTCCTTGTCTGACACCACTTTCGGCTTCACAGTTTCAAGCTACTTTCCTTTCCCTTCTTGGCGTGGGCTTCAAGTCTTGCCTGCCCAGCCTCGTCTTTTCCATGGCTTCTGTGACCCTTGCTCTGCACGCCTCTGTTGTGCGCGGCAAGGTCATCCTCTTATCCCCGAAGACGCACCTGCAGGCTCCATGGTCGCGCGCATCTTCTCTTCTGATGCGCACTCTTCTCTGCAGTGGTGGTGCCGGTGGTGCCGCTGGAAGATCTTCGCGCATCAACTGCTCACCGGCAGGCCTTGCTGCGGACAAGCCCCCCGAAAGATCCCAACCGCTTGGGCTTTAGCGACCGGCTGAACTCAGCCGTCGGATTCCAGCGCCTCGTCGCACTCCATCAGCCGTCATTACCAAAATGGATCCTGTACGGCCATGATGTCCTATGTACCGCTTCTTTCAGGACTCTCGCTCCTTCGCCAACTTCCCTGAAGTATAGGCGCCCTCCAAGAGCTATATGGCCGGCTTCCGCAATTGCTTTCCGCATCTCCGGACTTCTGGCGTCCGTCCGTCAGAGCCTTTCTTGTACTGGCTCAGCAAGTCTCCACCCCCGGCAGCCATTCCAATGCAGGATGATCATCTTTCTTCTCTCGCAACCTTCTTCGCGCTTGGCGCTTCACTTCTTTACAGGCGTTCTCTGCCAGTCCGTTCGCTTGGTGGTCAGCCACTGACTGGCGATTCCTCAGAGACCCGTTCCACGCTGGTCTGCTTGGCTCCGGCCTCTTTCAGGGCCACTATGGATGGCTCTCCGTCCGACTTGCGTACCGCTTTTCTGTACCCGAGATTCCTCAACAAGTTTGCGACGAACTTTGTGGCGTACGGCGTCGGTCCCTTCGAGTCCACGAAGGTCGCCGCTATGGACTGTGTCCTCTCGCCCTTCATCACGAGCTTCACGCGTAGTCCAGGGCCACTGTCGGCAATGCAATGCTGGCTGCGCATGGCCCGTGGGTCCTCCGGTGCTCTTATTTGGATGGGTTTCTCACCCTCAACTTCTTCCAACTCTTCATCCTCTTACTCCTCCCAGGTCGGCCCGTGCACATTGAAGCTCCCGCTCCGCCATCTTATACCCAGGCTTTCGTCTCAAGTAGAAGTTGTACACTCCCTGTTCCTGACAAACTGCTCTGCAGCACTCGCATTCTCCAGGATCTTCTGGACGGACTCTTGCGGAATCAAAATTCCGCCATTCGCATCAAGCACTGCAATCCTTCCAAAACCTAAGCACTTGGACGCTGAAACCAAGGGTTTGTGAACATCGGCCATTGATCCCTTCACACGGCGTTTGTTACCGCTCTCCTCGACCCCTCAAAGGTTCACTGACAGTGACTCTGTCCTCCCACCCATTCGGGATGGCCGTCTGGCCTGCTCCATGAAGCGTCCGCTATTCCAATTCCACTCAAGTCTGGCGTGAGCATTCCTACATCCGGGCTTGGTGCCTGCATCCTGATCCTCTGCCTCTTCCATACTTCCTGTTTCTTTACCTTTACCTTTGCTATTGCCTGTTACCTATTCCTTTGCTTTTTCATTTCCTGAACCTGATGACTTGTCCTGGCCTGTACCGTCCGGCCGTTTCTTGCTCCATCGACCGCTTTTCTCCCAGCTATGACGTGTCCCGTCCGGCGCTGTATATCAGCCCCCAAGCACGGATGGCAGCTGCCTCTTCTTCCTCTTTCTTTTCCTTCTCGGATTCTTTCTCTCCCTCTTCAATCTTTTCTGTGGCAATCTCGGCTTCAAGCAATTGTTCAGGCAAAGGTTCTTCTTTCTTTTCTTCCTTCTTTCTTCTTTCTTCTCTTCCTCGGTCACCGGGGTGGCCGAAGCGGCCCCTCCCCATACTGGCTCTTCCTCTAAACTCCTCCTCCTCTGAGGAGCTCTCACTCACGCTTACTACGCCATTCCTCTTTGGCTCTCAACGCTAGGTCCCTTTCACTTTCACCGGGCCTTCGCGCTACCATCAAGACACGATATCGACGCTACGGAGCATTCTTTTCTCCTTGAGCCAAAACATACATGAAGTCCTTAGTAAGAACTGTGCAAGCGGAGTATATATGAGCTATACATTTCGAATTTACATAGAATCAAAGATAATACACGACAATACTAATACTAAAAATCATCCAATTGAAACTGAAACTGCGATAATTCAGTCCTGTCGCACCGGTAGCGGCATGGCTTTCCTGAACGTCCCGCCCTCCCTGACACTTGACTCGCTTTTCAATCTCCAACAAATATTGACATGTTATCATAACATATCACAACCAATGTTGCTTCTACATGTATATGTGTATGTTCATGCATATACATTCTGGTATCATGCCACTCTTGCAAAATCATGTAAAGGAACATTGATCATGTTGCCTCCTCTCCAACTCGTCAATGGCTTGCTTCCGCAACGCTTGCTCCTTTCCCAGCTCGTTCGTCAAGCGCTCTCGTTCGCCCAGCGCCTGGCGCAGCACGGGCTGCGAAAAGTGACGCCGAGCTGGGCAGGCTTCGTCAAACCATGACGCAGCATTTCACATCATATCACCCTGATATGCCCTGATGTCTCTTTGGACATTTGATGAACATAGGTACCAGAAGAGTGGCAGGAGGTGGCAAGCAAAGACCCTCCAGTTAGAGATTGCATCTGTGAGTATCTGGCGAATCAGCCCGGAGCATGTTGCAGCTGCAGTGAGATGTGAAGGTTCTTTTGTATACGTTCTCCATAACGGCCTCTGCAAGTTGCATGTGCAGCTCCGACGAATTCCCAAGAGCCGATCCTTTGCCCTGCATCGCATGCTGTATCATTCTTTCCAAGGGATGCGAGATCATCATCATTGCTTTCAGAAAACAAAGGCCTCTGTAAGTGCCGCAGATGCTTCTGCAAGAGCTGTTTGGGCCTCCAGGACTCTTCGTGACATTGTTCGGGAACGGGGCAGTTTCGAACAAAACATCTGGCTGGCCTGCGCTCCTACTAAACGAAGTTCCCAGCTATCAGTGCTAGCGCGTCGGACAGCTTGTCTACATGTGACTCTTTCACGTCAAAAGGTGCGTTACCGTAGCCTCTTCAAGTTGAAGGCGTAGGCTCAGAATCAAGCTTTGGGGATCCTGGCAAGAAGAGAGAAGATGCAAGAAACAAATCAACAGCTTGGTCCGGAAGAAGAAATCCAGTCCTCGGGAACAAGCGTCTTGTCAGCTGCATAGCTCGCTTCCAATGGATCAGTGGTGTTTGCCTCTCTCTTCCCTCCTTCTTCGTTTGCGCTGGATTTTGACCCTTCAATGGTTTGAGCACTTTTCGCAACTTCAACGCCACTCTCTTTTGCAGCGGCCGGCTGATCTTCTTGTTTCTGCCCCTGGTCGTTGTCTACTGCTTTCTCCTCTTTCGACTTTGGGACAGAAACAACTTCAGCATCTGGGTCTGCCGAATTTAACGCTTCAACAGTGGTGCTGCTTTGCAAACTTCTGTCGATGGCAACAGGAGGCTGGTCCTTCTGCCCCTGCTCACCATTGTCTTCTCCCGCTTTTTCCTCTGCTGACTTCTCGGCGGATCCAGCTTTTGCATCTGGCTCTACTGCCTTCAGCGTTTCCAAAGCGTCACTACTGTCCAAACTACTTGCCATTGCAGCAGCAGGCTGGTCTTTCGGTCTCTCATCGCCATCGTTTTCTCCTTCCTTTCTCGCGACTGACTTTGGGGTGGTAACAACTTCTGCGTGAGGCGCTGCCTTGCTCGCGGCTTCAACGCCGTCGCTGTTTTTCAAACTGCTCTCTATCGCAGCAGCAGGTCGGTCTTCTGGACTCTGCTTGTCACAGCTTTCCTCTGCTGGCTCTGCAGCGGAAACAATTCCTGCATCAGGCCCTTCAGTGCTTGACGCTTGAACAATGCTACTTTTCCTTTCTTCAGAAATGTTTTCTTGTGCAATCGCAAGCTTGTCATCCTCCGCATGCTGGCCCTGCATCGCTTCAAGTTCCTTCTCACCAGATTGCGCCTCAGACTCATCTGCTGCCTTGGCATGAAGGGGAGCAGGTTCTGGTTCACTGACATTTGATGCTGCTGGAGGTTCAGTGCTGCCTTTTTCTTCTGTTGTTTTGTCATCCTTATCCTGGGTTTCTTTGCGCAAAATGTCCGCTGTCGGCCCTGTCGGCCTTGCATTTGATGCTTCACAAGCTTCTGCGTCTTTCGTTTCTGAGCTCTCTCTTGCAATGACCGGCGCAGTGTCCGTTGTCTTTTGGTGGTCATTGGCTTCTGCTTGTTCCTCCAATCTGGACTGTGCCTGAGCCACAGCTGGCTCCGCCGTGTGTCTTGCTGCATCTCCTGCCTGCAGCTACGAGGTGCCAAGGTTGCTGTTTCAAGCACAAAACGCAAGAAAACAGCCTTTGGGCCGTTTCATCGCCTTGTAGCTGTGCAAACTATCGTTTGGTTCTGGCGTGTACATGTATATAGGCGTATATAGACTGTATGCTTTGGCACGATAATCCATGTTGGACAACAGAGTGCTTACAGTATCTTACAGTGAACATCTCATACCAAACAGCAGCAAAAGTCTGCAAACGAGACCAACACACTCTCTGGATCCCCCTTGGAATTACCGGTAGGTCTGGGGAGCGCGATTTTGTAGCCATAAATCGCCTGCCCCAACATCCAGCAAGCAATCTCTCCACTATAAAATGAAGACTCGACATGACTCAGTAAATCTCTATAAAATCAAGTTTCAACATCTAAGGCGCTCGAAAGCAGAAGGAAGACGTAAAATATGATCTAGGTTTGAGGTAGTTTTAACTCTATTTTGCCCAGGTCGGAATTGCTTTTATAGTGGGTTGTTTGGGTTCAACTGGGCTGAGACGTGAATTTATAGGGATTTGGTTTGCAAAATCTGACAGCATCAGCGATGAGCAGGTTTTTTCCCCTGTGCGTTCGTCTGATTGTTCTGATGTCCAAAGCAATCCGCTTGATTGTCGTCAAAAAACCAACATATTCTGCGCGCAACTGACTTCCAACATCTGCCACAATAACATGAAGTCTCAGCTTTCTTGTCCACAACTCTCTTCATGTAAGATCAAGAACCAACTTCTAATCATTGTAAGGCTTGGTCTGCTATACAATCGGGGCTCATACCACCTCACTCCTATAAAATCTAATGTCAGAACATCCAGACCTCTATCTATGTGCGGCCCACATGATTCTGGCCACAAGCTACCAGGTCGACACATCATTTTATAGCAAGCCCTCCCTATAAAATGACATGGGGTTTTGGTACTCGAGTACGTCCATTTTATAGGCTTTATTCCATCGGGGATCTCTCTGGGTTTGTTGATCCAGAAGTCCGAAGCGCCGCCCAGGGGGAAAAGGAACATCTTGTTATTGTTTTCCATCTTGACCGCAAACAGCATGGGATGCAAGTTGCACTAGCCAGGCGACGCATGAACGTTGCAGAAAACCACTCTCAGGACTTGAAGGTGATGCGCTGCATTTAAGATTCTGACACAGATTCCTCCATGCCTTTCTAATGGGCCACCGCAACCACGTCGTTTGCGCGCACAGACCTGTACGTCACGAATAAACGGAACTGATTTACTTCTGCTGAAGGTCCTTGTATTTACAAGATCAGCTCTACGAACCCTGTAGTTAGCTACCTTTTCTCTACGCTTGAGTAGGTATACGCTACGGCGCTCTGGGGTGACAAGAATTTCAACACCCCCCTTTACAAGGAACTCGGTCAGGACTAGTTAAATTCCGGTAGCGGCATTCTTAGTTCACCTAGATCTGTTCCTGAAGCGTGCACGCCTGAGACGCCAGCCCTTCTTCGTCTCGTGAGTCCTTCTTGTCTGGGGCATCCCTATATTATGGGAACCAAAGGAGGGTCGTTGGCGAAGCCAGTTCATCCATTGGTTGTTTCAATTCTAAGTTGTCCTTCCTCAGTTCTTGAATTGTTTCCGCCTGGGAGTCCAGGCTTTGCTTCTTGACTGTTGCAAGTTTCTTTGTCAATAATTCAATAATGCAACCTTTGCTTTTGCAATGTCGAGGGAGGCTTCCAACTCGTCACGTTTGAAGTTCAAGTCAATGACCGCTGCGGTTGCTTGAGCTGTATTTGCTGCATTTACTGCTGCCTGATACCTTGCTTCACTGTGTTCCATGACTTGTTGGTGTTCTGAACGAAGTCGTTCAATGTAATGCTGAGCTTGCCTAAGCCTGCTCTGAAAGTGTTCGCGTTGCTCTTCCAATGTTTCTTTGTCTTGCTTGCTCACCAAGTTGCATCGCACGTTGTTGTAATTCTTGCCTCAACTCTGCTTGACCTGGACCTGTGTTGACGTTGACAACATTGAGTCTTGCCATTGATAACGTGTGGTTTAACTGTTGGCGTACCAGTTACGGTAGCGGGCGGCATACCTGCAAGGGTAGCTTGCGCGGCTTCCTGAAGAGGACGCTGCTAACCATCTGTAGGTAAGCTTCCGACGTTGCTTGAGGCTAATGCCAGTTGGATTTCTCTTGATGACGAACCACCGCATCGGACACTAGCAACAGATTCAGCAGATTCCACAGTCCTGAACATTCAACAGATTCAAGATGATTCAAGCGATCTGGCTACCTTGCTACCAGCATGGCAATAGGACAATAGGATCTACCGCGGAATCCGTGTCTTGATCATGGCTGATATGCCTCACGCTCCTCCCAGTAAAGCATATCCGCCGACCCCTGCCTAGCTGACGCCTATAGGGGCGCCCCTGGGACACCGCAGTTTGGAAGCAACCAGGCTAGACTCGCTCACGCTGAGGAAGCTTCTTGCAGCTACTCGGTGACTTTCAGTGTGGCGACACCGAGGTTTTGCCGTACTCTGCCTTTCGCAGACAGCTGCGGCTGTTTTGGTGTGGTGGCGCCGAGGTTTTGGCGTGGTCCATGGGCAGCTGGCCGTTATCTGGGGCTTGTCCTGGTCCCTGCGCTCGTCCTGGACACCTCTTTATAGCGTTTCGGAGGCAACGCAAGGCGCTGGCAACGCTGAGCCGAGGTTTTTGGGCAGCTGGCCGCCGTAGGCCCTATGAGGTTTCAACGGAGCAGGGAGCGACCGCTGCCAGTGCCTGACGTTGCCTTCGACCACGGACCAGGGCAAGATACCACACCAAAACCTCGGCTCCGCCACGCCGAAAAACCCGTTGCCAGCGCCTGAGACGTCACCTCCGAAACCCTTTATAGATAGAGGTGTCCAGAGCCCCAGAAACCAGGACAAGGGTCAGGTGGCCGCAAAAAGAGGTTTTGGCGGGCTGCTTTTTGGAGGAGGTGGGCTTGTCCTGGTCCCTGGGGCTAGGGTTTCGAAGGCAACGTCAGGCACTGGCAAGATAGGGTTTGGAGGGGCAATGTCAGCGACCGTCGCCAGTGCTCCCTTGAAACCTCCATGGCCAGGGTGTCTCGGTGTGGCGACACCGGTGTGGGACACTCTTGTGGGACACCGTTGTGGGACACTCTTCTCGAAAGCTCTTGTGGGACACTATTGCGTGCAACTCTTGTATACACTCCTCTACGACGCTCTTGTGGGGCTTGTGGGCCACTTTTGTGGGACACCGTTGTCGGACCCTCTTGTGCAAAACTCTTGTCAAACACTCTTCTGGGACACTCTTGTCCGACACTCTTGTCCGACACTCTTGTGGCCACCTCTTGTGGAAGACGGCAGTCTTGTGGGACACTCACGTCTGACACTCGGGTGGGGCACTCTCGTGGGACATTCCGGGCCACCTCCACGCGCGATACCCGATGCGACCCCTTTCCAGCAATGCTGCGGACAACAGTTTTGGTAGAACCAAAAGACAGCCCGCAGACCAGCGACTGCGACTGAGTGTGAGAAGCGGTGGTGACAGCGGACTGCACCACCGCAAACCTTGCCTGGTCAGCTCTGAGCTGCCAAAGCAAGGCCCTCGCAAACAGCCACCGACCCGCGTGCCGTCTTCGGGGACCCACCTAGACCACTGCCCTCCACAAATCCCTGCACGTCACGGGAAAACGGACATCAGCCCTTAAACCTGGCGACGCCGCGCCAGTGACCATATAAGCCTAGCTTGCTATATGATGCTATATGGAGACGCGCTCCATGCCGCCGACCCACGTTTCGAGCATCACCAGGGCTCATGTGGCTTCGTCAAAAAACGTCCAACACAAAGGAAAATGATCAAAAAAGGCTACTGTAAAGCTTATAATGTATGTAGTTGATGAACAATCCTGCTCGTACTCTGGTGATGCCAACGGTGCTCGACACAACTGCTACGCGTCATCGCGCCCGTCGTGCGTGCGTGCGCGCGCTCTTGTGTGCGTGCGTGTTTTTGAGTGTGTGTGCATTCGTGTGCGTGTGCGGGTGTGCATGCGCGGACGTGTGTCTGAAGCTGAGGAAAGAGCATGCGAAGCCTGTCAGTCAAAACGATGCTGCGCAAAGGGCAACCTATGTTAGACAATGTTAGAAATAAGATTAAATAAGCAGAATTTGGAGAGTGCAACATATGCACCCACTTCACTTGCACAGGTTCTTCCCCAACACCTCCCACCCATCCACTTTCCAAGACAAAGATTGGACTACACATAAATTTCAGCTCAAAGCAACAAAACAGTCCTTCCGATCGTCATCGCTCACTTCCTTTGCTCTTGGAGTTGCCGCTTGACTGTGTGCTGGGGTTGGTGCAGCCGATGTGAACTCCAAACGCAACGGACGATCCTTGAGAAAGCTCTTAAAGTCCTCTGCACTCAATCCTTCCAAGCTGACCAAATCAGTCTTGCCAACACGAAGAAGCACATCCCCTTCATGAACTCCTTGTTGTGAACCGAATTCTCCACTTGCAACAGACTTGACACGAAGTTGGCCTGGTGGCAGTCCATTAAAGGATATTCCCATCTTGCTTACTGTGGCATCTGCCACAATCTCATAAAGGCCCTCTTGCTGCTTGCTCTCCTGTCCTTCTGCCGCTGCTGCTTTATGTTCTCCTTCGTTTCCTCTCGGAGTTGCCGCTGGACTGTGTGGTGGGGATGGGCCAGCCGACTTGAACTCTAAACGCAACGGACGATCCTTCAAATAGCTCTTGCAGTCCTCTGGACTCAAGCCTTCCAAGCTGACCAAATCAGTTTTGCCAACGCGAAGAAGCACATCCCCTTCGTTCACTCCTTGCTGTGCCATAAATTCTCCGTCTGCAACAGACTTGACACGAAGCTGGCCTGGTGGCATTCCATGAAAGGCCACGCCCATCTTGTTCACTGTCTCGTCAGCAACAACCTCGTACAGTTCACCCTCTAGCAGGTCACTCTCTTTTTCTTCTGCCACGTGATCATTCTCCCTTCTTGGAGTTGCCGCTTGACTGTGTGCTGGGGTTGGTGCAGCCGATGTGAACTCCAAACGCAACGGACGATCCTT